AAAAAAAAAAAAAAAAAGAACTGTGAGAAATAAATGTCTGCTGTTTAAGTCACCCAGTCTGTGATGTCTGTTATGGTGGCCCAAGGTGACCAAGACTCACAGTCAATCCATCCCAAATAGCAGAGGTTGCTGGACTTTCCAGCCCTTTATCTCCCCACCAGACACCCCAACTCCTCCCCTGCTGGCAGAACTCCAAGGAGATGACTCACGACTGCTCAGGTACATCAGCCTTCTGGCCTCAAAAACAATAACCACACACACACATACACACGCACACCCACAGAGCAGAAAGACTGTTGTATTAATAATTGATGTTTGAGTGAGGAGACATCAAAAAGAAGAGTAAACTTCATATAGAAGGGAGGAGTGCATTTTCAGTTGTGCTTAGGATGGTTGTATTGTGTTGGGTGGAATGATGACCTTGTCAGTGTCTTTATTTGGAGACTAAGGATGGTTGAAGGAGATGCGTAGGGGTGCCAAGTTGACAAGGGGTGGACTTGCGTTGGTTCATTTTATGTGTCAGCCGGACTGAGCTAAGGAATGCCCAGGCAGCAAGTAAAACATCATTTCTGGGTGTGTCTGTGAGGGTGATCCTGGAAGAGATTCACATTTAATTTAGTCGACCCAATAAAGATCACTCTCACCGGTGTGGGCAGGCATCACCCAACCCGTTGGGGGCCCGCGTAGAACAAAGAGGAGGAGGAAAAGGGAATTTGTTCTCTCTTCTTGAGCTGGGATGTCCTGTCCATCTTCTGCCCTCAAACATCAGACTTCCTGGTTCTCCAGCTCACAGATGGTAGATGGTGGGGCTTCTCTGCCCCCTTAAGCATGTGAGCTGATTCCTATTATCTGTCTGTCCCTCTGTCTATCTACCTACCTCTCAGGTTTTTTAGTGATGATCATTTTCAACTGAGCACACACGTTAAGTCCTTCTAGGCCTAATTTTGGATGGAAATATGTGGTCAGTTAAGTTCTGGGCTCCGCTGGGCCTCCTGGGCAGGGCAGAGAAACCCCATTCGGGACCCGGTCAGAGCTTGAGAGCAGAGTGGACTCCCTGCCTTGCTTTGCACATACTTCCCGAGTGCCTGGGGGAGGAGCCACTCTCTGGGTCAGAACGAAACCTCCTCGTGCCCTTAGCTACCCAAGCATCCTGTCCCACTTCAGCTGTTCAGATCCCAGCTCTGCCAGGCTGTGTGGTGAAGGCCCTGCACCGCTCTGTGCCTTCACCCACATATCCGTGTCCTGGCGCTGCCCTGTGCTTGATGGCGCAAAACGACAGAAAGGTACTGTCACATTGGTGGAAGAAGGAAGCCAGAGGTCTGAAATCAAAGTAGTGGCAGTGCTGGTTCCTCTGAGGAAGAAACCTCGCCATCCCTCTCTTCCAGTGTCTGGTGGTTGCCAGGAATCCTCGGCATCTCCTGGCTTGCAGATGCATCCCTGCAATGTGGCCTGCACCTTCACATGGCCTCTTTCTCTGTGTGCATCTCTCCATGTCCTCTCTTCTTAGAAGGACAACAGGCATGGGATTGAGGGCCCACCCGATTCAGTATGATCTCATCTTAACTTAAATCATTAAACCTGCAAAGACCCGATTTCCAAGTAAGGTTACGTTCTGTGGTTCTGGATGAATATAATTTGGGGAGGGTGGGAACTGACCCATGAGAGTTCTTTCCTCTGTATAATTGGGATGAGGATGGTACCTGATGGTACCGATCTTTGGGCGGGCCTGGGGTTAAGTGCAGACTTTACTGTGGCACCAGGTTTATTTACATAAGTACTCCTGAAACCATCCAATGACCTAACACCTTTTGAAACCTTTCTTAACTTCCTAATCTTCCCAGCCAGCTCCTTTGACCTGGAATTTTCCCTACTCTCCCAGCCCATCAGACTCTTAAAAAGAGAAAAGCCCTTGTTCACCCAGTGATTGCTAATTACTCCTACCATGCAGGACGTAAATATATATTTGTTATTTTTCTTGTTCGCTTTTTTACCAAATTGAACATACCTGTCTTTCATAGGCAAACTTCTGAAATCTGTATCCCCGGGTGTTTGAGAAATAGACATTGGTCTGAGATATCTGATCTCCATGCAAATAAGCAAAAACTGAATTACTTATATCCTGGAAGAACACAAACACATAAAACAGTCTCTTTAAAAGGAGATACAGGGTTAGAGGGGTTGGGGAAATGTTCTCTAAGGGTACAAGCTTGCAATGGGTAGATAAATAAGTTCTAGAGATCTAGTACACAGCATAGTGATTACAGACAACAAGACTGTATTATAAATTTAAAAGTTGCTAAGAGACTAGATCTTAATTGTTCTCACCACAAAAAGGAAATGATGATCATGTGATGGAGATATTAGTTAATGCTATGGTGATCATCTATTTATAACATATAAATGTATCAAATCAACACATTGTACACCTTAAATTTATACACTGCTGCATCTCAATTATATCTCAATTGAAAAAAAGGAGATAGATGTGCCCGTGATCACACTCCTGGGCATTTATCCCAGAGATGAAAACTTATGTGCAGACACAAATGAACGTTCATAGCAGCTTTACTCATAATAACCAAAAAGTGGAAACAACCAGTATTACTCAACGACAAAGGGGAATGTATTAGATACCCACAACCAGTGGGAGGTGTCTCCAGAGCGTTTTGCGGAGAAAAGCTAATCCCCAGATTTTCACGTTGTAGGATCCCATGTATAGAACATTCTTGAAATGATGAGATTCTAGAGATGGAGAACAGATTAGTGTTTGCCAGGGGTTAGGGACAGCAGGGCAGGGATGTATGGAGGGAGAGCTTTGGGGTGATGGAACAGTCCAGTATTTAGAAGGCAGAAGTCCTCCTGTGACTTCACATATGTGATAAACGGCACAGAATTAGACACACACGTTATTTCCATGTCAGCTTCCCGGCTTTAGTTTTTTATTATAGTTATGTAAGGTGGAACCATTGGTGGGACCATTGGTAAGGGGGGCGTGGGACTTCCTGCAGGGTCTATAGTTATTTCAAAATAACAAGTTTAAAAAAGGAAGGTAGGTGGATATATTCCTAGTGTGTCAGCCAGGTGATCCCGTATCTCAGGTCCTCTTCTGAACCCTCGGGAAGGGATCCTGCCCAGGTCCCTCATGGAACCTGATGCCCAAGCCCTCATGGATTACTCTGTCCATATTTTCATTCATAATGATCTATGTTCAAAACAGAATAAAAAATGACAAGCTCCACACCATATACTCACCACGCAAAAGGGATGTCTGCTATAACAACAGTTGTCACCAGAAACATGTGAAACAGGGTGTTCTATACCTAAAAGGACAAGATCATTTTAAAAAACACGAGCTTCCAGGGCGCCTGGCCGGCTCAGTTGGTGGAGCCTGCGACTCTTGATCTTGGGGTTGTGAGTTCAAGCCCCACATTGGGTGTGGAGCCTACTTTAAAAAAAATAAATAAACCATGAGCTCCCTAAATTTCAGGGGAAGGGATAGAGCAGGGTTTCTCAACCTCGACACTACTGACATTTTGGGGCCAGATGGTTCTCGGTTGTGGGGCTGTGTTGTGTGTGTTGCACTCGATGCCTGCAGCACCCTCCCCCAGTCTTGACGCCTAAAACGATCTCCAGACATTGCCAAGAGGGGCACACCTGTCACAACTGAGAACCACTGGTTTCGCAGGAACTCTTAGGACCCTGCCAAAATTGCAGGAAGGGCTCCTTTCTCTTAGGGAGGCCTTCTTTGATTCTATTACAATAGCAGAAGCTTCAGCTCCGAAGAAAATATACACGTGGCCAACAAAGACAGGAAAAGGTGCTCTCAGCATCACCGATCATCAGGGAAATGCAAAGCAAAACCACAGTGAGGTGGCACTCACACGTATTAGGATGGCTATTATCAAAGAATCAGACATCCAGTGTTGGCAAGGATGGGGAGCAACTGGGAGCCTCATGCACTGTTGGTGGGGATGTAAATGGGTGCGTGTGGTGGGGCAAACAGGATGACAGTTCCTCCAGAAATTGAAAATAGAGATCTGGCAATCCCACTTCTGGGTTTCTACCCAAAAGAACCGGAAGCAGAGACTCAAGGCAGGATTATTCACATTAACTAAAACATGGAAGCAATCCAGGTGTCCACTGACAAATGATGAATGGATGGGCAAAAATGTCACGTAGACACACAGTGGAATATTATTTGGCCTTAAAAAGGAAGGGCATTCTGACACCTCCTGCAACAAGGATGGACCTTGAAGACATTGTGCTCAGCGAGAGAAGCCAGACCCAGAAGGACACATCCTGCAGGACCCCGCTCCCAGGAGGTCCCCAGAGGAGTCCCGTCCATAGAGACAGAAGGTAGATGGTGGGAGCCAGGGCTGGGGCAGGGGGTGGGGAGTCAGCCCTTTGGATGCTATTAAAGAAAGTGATGGAGAGAAGAGAAAGAATAGAGACCACACTGAATTATGCTACGAGGAGCCCTTATGGTTCCTCAGTACGTTAAAACATGGAGTTTCCAGATGACCCAGCAATTCTACTCCTAGGTTAGGTTACCCCAAGAGAACTGAAAACCTCCGTCCACATACAAACTCATGCAGGAATGTGCACACAAGCGCTATTGCACAATGGCTAAAAGGATGAAACGAGCCAAGTGTCCAGCAGCTAATGAATGGACAAAAGTGGTTCATCCATACAGTGGAATATTATTCAGCCTTAAAAAGGAGCGAGCCGCTGACACACGCTAAAATGGGGAGGAAGCTCGAAAACACAGCGCTCAGGGAGAGAAGCCACACACAAAAAAGCCACAAAGTGTGTGATTCCACGTGTGTGAAACGTCCAGAACAGGCATGTCCAGAGAGACAGGAAGTGGGTGTGTGGTTGTCAGGGGCTGGGGAGGGGGTGGGGAGTGACTGCTGATGGGGACAGTCTTTCTTCTTGAGGTGACGGAATGTTCCGGAACTAGAGAGTGGTGATGGTTGCACAACATTGGGAATGTACCAAATGCCACTGAATTGTACACTTTAAAATGGTTAAAATGGTCAGTTTTATGTGACTTTTATGCTCCCTTCCCCCTACCCCAAGAAGGAGAAAGAGGCATGAAATGTGAGAGAGAAAAGAAGTGATGCGGAAAGTCAGGAGGGGGATAGAGGACTGGGCAGCAAAGCAAGAGCCAGCTCATGGGTGAATTTTGGAGGGAGCGAGAGGGAGGGAGCAAAAGCAGGGAGGGCTATGTGGCAATTTGGCTGCGGGCAGTAAGTTCTGCAAGGAATGGATGGAGGCAGCTGGGTGTCTGGTTTGGATGTGACAGCATGACATGGCCCCCAGGCTGGTCAGAGCAGGCTTCTGGGGCTTGTTACTACAGTCCCTGACAGAAGCCCTGGGACTTGGCTCCACCTGGGTTAGGTACCTTCTTTACCCACACCCCCCACACCACCAAGCATCATTCATTCTGCATCGCCAGGTCACCTTGCTGTCGGGGGTCAAATCCCAACACTGTAACGAGAAGTCAGACAGAGGCCAAACCAAGGTGTGGCTCTCCTGCTGTGCTTCCCTGTCCCTCCCAGGGGGCTGCCAGCCCCTCTCCAGCCAGGGCTCAGCAAGCACCTGGCAGATACCACACTGGCTGGGCAAGGTTCCCTCTCGTGGGGTCCACAGTCTTTTGCCAAAACTAATATAAGTGAAGTAAAAGAATAACGAATTGCAAGATGGTGATCTACCAACCCTTGTGGCTCTTGACTGAGATTTTGACTCCCAGTGAACATCCAGTGGATGATGTCTGGGGACATTTGTGGTGTCAGGATGGGGAGAGGGGAGGGGCGCTCCTGGCAGGAGGTGGGAGGGGCCAGGGATGCTGCCCCAAATCCCCAGTGCCCAGGGTGGCCCCCCGCACAGAGAATGACCTGGCCCTAAATTTCAGCAGTGCTAGGGTTGAAAAACCTGGAACTGACCCCTTTTCTTTTTCCTTTTCTCTTCTGTTCTTTTCTTTAGTTTAAAAAAAATTTTTTTAAGATTTTATTTAGGAGAGAGAGAGAGCAGGAGGGTGGGGAGGAGCAGAGGGAGAGGGAGAAGTAGACTCCATGCTGAGCAGGGAACCCAACACAGGGCCTGATCCCACCTCCTGAGATCATGACCCGAGCCAAAATCAAGAGTCGGATGCCCAACTGTCTGAACCACCGAGGTGCCGCAAACCGACACCTTTCTCATCACAATGGGTACCAACCATCCTTCTTTTCTAAAGAATGGCATCTCCCTTGTCTTCATTCTTGACCTCATCCCCTTGCCTCCTACGTGAGGGTTCTCTTCTTTCTCTCTCTTCATACAGCTTACCTTCTCTCTGTTCCCTGTCCCTAATGGGCAGTAGGTGGGACTGAATATTCCCATCACTCAGCCTTGTCACCAAGCATGTATGTGCATTCTTGGCTCTTCTCAATCCTCCCTGACATCCACTCCAATGCAATTCCCGTTGATGTCCCTCATTTGCTCCAATCATGTCAGAGCAGGCTTTTGTGGTTTGTAACTACAATCCCCGACAGAAACACTAGGTTCCCACCGTACAAACAATTTTCATTTGAATTTTAAAGGACAAGGTAGTGTCTAGGGGCTGACATCCAAGGAGCAGCTTTGTTTGTATTTCCAAAATTAAAAAACCTGTGCTTGGATGTTGGCAGATTGCAAACAGAATTAAAAAAAATACAAAACAGGGGTGCCTGGGTGTCTCAGTTGTTAAGTGTCTGCCTTCGGCTCGGGTCATGATCCCAGGGTCCTGGGATCGAGCCCCGCATTGGGCTCCCTGCTCGGCGGGAAGCCTGCTTCTCCCTCTCCCCCTCCCCCTGCTTGTGCTCCCTTTCTCGCTGTGTCTCTCTCTGTCAAATAAATAAATAAAATCTTTAAAAAAAAAATACAAAACATGTATACCTATAGATGTGTTCCAGGAATTGGCTTCGTAATCATAAATATAGATTTTTTGATTCACTACTAACAGCAATACTGAGTCAGCGATATGTGCCGATGTTACTTCTGGTGTGCCAACCTAAAAATAACGACACAGGATATCAGGAAGTGCATCCTTCTGGACGATTAGGAAAGTAAGATGTCTAGATGCACATTTAAGAAACATGTATGCTAGCAAGAGTTGTTTGGTTCCCAGGTGTTGGGAACTGAATATTCTGGGCGCAGCTGGGACCGAAACTGAGAGCTTGGAATTGGTGTTTGGTGCCCTTGGATACCTCCTTCCTCCTTATCTATCTCCTTCTTCCTTATCAAAACTTTCCCTGAAGATAAAGCCTAAAGTGTAAATTATGAACGATGAACATAAATGATAAATGTGTTGCTTATAAGAGAAACATTGGCATTTTAATAGATGGCAAAGCCTTCTTTAGTGTAGGACCCAGTGGTAGAATTTCTCAAGATAGTTACTGAGAGGGCAAAGGTTTTTCTGTTTTGGTTTAGGACAATTTAGGGAGGCCCTGAAATTAGTGCATATAATCTATCTATTCATAACACACAAACAGTTACAAGGAGCACTTCCAACAATTCTGCTTCAGAAAAAACAAACAGGCTATCTCAGTAATAAGGGCAGAATAGAATCAACCCTTCTTCTGGCTTAGACATTATTCTCAATATCTTTAAGAGGTACAATGTAAAACAAGCCCCCAAACTAACAAAAACAGACTAGTGCGATATTTCCAAACTGTATCTTCCCCCTGAGTGTTAACTTATGTTGAGAATCCTTCAGATGGTTCAGTAAAATGACTACCTTCATTGATGCAGGGATGGAAAGTGGAAGGAGACTACTTTTGAAATTATCTCTCGTGAAAAAAATTTGCCTTCTGAAATAGACAATAAAAGTTAAATTAGGAAAATTTCACACAAGAAAAGAAAAAAAGATAATGGCAGACACTCTAAAATGTTCTACTCAAACAAAATTCCTTTTTTAACAAATTTTATTTTACAGAGAGAGAGGGTGTGTGTGAGCAGGGGGGAGGGGCAGAGGGAGAGAGAGAATCCCAAGTAGACTTCCCACTGAGCACAGAGCCAGACATGGGGCTCGATCTTATGACCCCGAGATCACAACCTGAGGTGAAATCAAGAATCAGACGCCCAGCTGACTGAGTCACCCAGGTGCCCCCCCCCCTTTTAAAAACAAGGTTTAGGTTTAGGTTTTTATCTATCTCTCTATCTCTCTATCTTTGCATGAGTAAACCTCTATAGACTGGGTATTTGGCTTCTTGAAATAACATTTTAGAAGTGTGACCATGTCAAATTTAAAATTATATAAAATGTACATTAAGCAACAGCTTGTCTTACTCAGAATGAACTTCAG